CAAAACTTCCACGGAAGCAAAAGCGGAACCATAATGAGTCAAGCATGAAGTGAGACGCAGACAGGAGGGACCGCTCTATGGCCATGGTCTGTCAAATGGAGGAACCAGCATCGTCCTTCAGCATTGCATGCTACACCGTGGTAAGTGACACCCCGGTACCCCACTGGCAGCTGGTGGCTCCCAGCCCCATTTGCACCACCACCTCCTCAGCCCACACCTGGGCACGATGCAAAGAAGCTATGCTCCCCTCCCAATGCCTGACCCCGCAAGTGCTCCCCTCGGCTCTCATTTTGCAAAGGGAAAGAAATACGATTAGCAGCAAACTTTCTGCCCAGGATTTGCAGGTGGTCACAAGCTGACCTCAGCCTCCACTGGTTACTCACGCAAAGCATACCCAAAACTGCATCCGAAAGACATACCTTCGCTAACCTGAGCAAGCTGACTTGCTTGATCCTGCCCACCGCAGTGCAAACCTCATCGACACTCAGGATGGCTCATTTGATCCAAAGAAGACCTGTTCAGCTACAGTTAACCATCCTTTAGAGGCACGGCGTGACTGGGTATTACCCCCAACCCCAATCTGCTACCATATGCATATGGCACAAATGAGCCATGGCTCTGCCTGGCACTGGGACATGACAAGAAAGGAGCTACATTACCTCAGCAGGCGTGGGGAGCCGGCTGGCAGTGCCCACGATCTGGTGGTACAGCCCTGGCTCACCATTCCTTATGGTGCTCTGGCGGCTCCCCAGAGGGCTGGAAGTGAAGGGCTTTTTACACAGGAGATCACTCTGGCGAGAGTCCGTGGTGAGATAGACCTGATGGTAGAAGTTGGGTGGCGTGAAGCCACCCCGCACAGCGTCAATATGGTGGAAGGGCCCTGGTGTCCTGTACAGGGTGCTCCTGGAGCTGTTGAACAGCTCCTTTGACTGCCTCCACTTGTAGCACTTGAAGATTCCCACTGACAACATGGTGATGAAGAAAGCTGCTGACACTAAAATCACAGCCAAGATGAGATAGAAAGTCACGTGCCTCCTGGTATCATTGGTGGGTGCCACATCAGTGAGGTCAGTGAGCACCTCCTTGACCATCTCGGCCACAGAGATGGAGACAGTGGCACTGGTGGACAGCACAGGCTCCCCATGGTCTTTCAGCAGAATGACTAGTGTGTGCTGGGGAGCATCATCCTCCCGGAGCTGACGGGCCGTGAAGATCTCCCCGCTGTGCAGCCCAACTGAGAAGAGGCTGGAGTCGGTGGCCTGCAACAGGGTATAGGAAATCCAGGCATTGTACCCTGCATCTGCATCCACCGCCACCACCTTAGTGACTATGTGGCCAGCAGGAGTGCCTGGAGCCACCACATCGGTATATGTGGCAGTGGTGTTGGGGTAAGGGTACAGCACGGTTGGGGCATTGTCATTGAGGTCAGTGACAAACACACTGACTGAGACATTAGTGGCCAGAGGCGGTGAGCCACCGTCCTGGACCTGCACCACCATGCTGAACTCCACCTGGTCCTCGTGGTCCAGGGAGGTGAGCAGGTAGAGTGTGCCATTCTCCCGGTTGATGGAGAAGAGGTGGCCTACAGTGGGGTCACCTTGCAAGAGGGTATAGGAGAGATGGGCGTTGCGCCCAAGATCCGGGTCTGTGGCGCTCACATTAAGGATGGGGATGCCAGGCATGTTGTTCTCCAGCACATACACATCATAGGAGTCCTGGGAAGACTTGGGCGCGTTGTCATTGACATCTGACACCTGCACCAGGATCTGTTTTACCGCAGACAAGGGTGGCGAGCCCGAGTCCCTGGCTGTGATAGTGATGTTATACTCCGATGCCTTTTCCCGGTCCAGAGCTGCCTTTGTTTTCAATGTGTAGTAATTTTTGAGGGAGGAGCTGAGCATGAACGGGATCCCAGGGGAAATGAAGCAGTTCACCAGACCATTGTCATGGGAGTCCAAGTCCGTTACACTCAGCAGAGCTACGACCGTCCCTGGGGTTGCATCTTCAGGCACAGGGCTGTACACAGAAGTCACCGTCACCTCTGGAATGTTGTCATTCACATCCACGACTTCCACCAGCACTTTGCAATGAGCCACGCCAGGAGCAACACCCTTGTCTTTAGCCTGTAAGTAAATCTCATACAGCTTCGTTTCCTCATAGTCCAGCTGTCCCTTGACCCTCAACTCGCCTGTGGCCGAGTCCAGAGCAAAGAGTTCTCGTACCTTGGCAGGTGTGTGGCTGCTGAAGGAATAGACGATGTCTCCATTAGGCCCATCATCCAGATCGTATGCACTGATCCTGGTGACCAGGGCACCACTGGGCGTGTTCTCCCTCACGCTGGCCTTGTAGGTGGACTGGTTGAAGACCGGGGCGTTATCGTTGGCATCCACAACGTCAATGTGGATCTGCACGTGGGCTGACCGTGGTGGGCTGCCTCCATCCAGCGCAGTCAAGACCAAGTGCAGCTCCCGTTGCTCCTCCCTGTCCAGCTCCTTCTCCAGCACCAGCTCCGCGTACTTGCTGCCATCCACCCTCGTCTGCACGTCGAGCACAAAGTGGGGGTTGGCGCTGAGCTGGTAGGTTTGCAAAGAGTTAATCCCCACATCGGGGTCTCGCTAGCGGGAAGCGCCCTCCGCCCCCCACCGACTCGCTGATTTCCAGCCTCGCCTGGCTGCTGGGAAAAACCGGGTCGTTGTCATTGATGTCCTGGATCTCCACAGCGCCGCTGTACAGCTCCAGCGGGTTTTCCACCACGATCTCAAAGCTGAGGGTGCAGGGAGAGAGCGCACCGCAGAGCTCCTCCCGGTCTATCCGCTCACTCACCAGCAACGCGCCGCTCGTCAGATCCACCCCGAAGTACTTCTTATTGCCGCCGGACA